TAACAAATAATTTAAGTATTTCACTGTATTTCTATCATTAACCAGGAATCATTTCACATCACTGTAATTTAACACATGGCAGACAGGACAAGAAAGGCAGACAGTGCTTGGCTTGTCAAGTCAAACAATTTTTCTCCTTTCATCTTGAACAGTGTTACTATAAAGCTCCCCACCTGTCTGAATCCATCCTTAACATTACTGCCATCCTGTGGTAGCTGTTGACAGTGGTTCCTGAAACCTGTGTTGTTTGTTTTAATCTTCCAAAAGATTGCAGCTCTCTGTTTTGCTGGTGTGGTGAAAGAGGGCCCAGGATTGCAGACATGGAGGCAAAACATGGGAGTTTCAGCCAAAGGAGAGCCTTTTAATGAAAAGGAAGCTAAATACGAACTGTCTAACTAACAGGATCACGATTGGAACATAACGGAACAAGGACAAGGGGAGACGGACACAATATATACACAGGAGGATGGGAACACAGCTAGAGAAACAGACATGATGAGATGGGGGAAGCAAAGCAGAACACGAGGCACATGAGATGACGACTACCAAAGTAAACAGGAACTCACAAACGCTGAGACACAGACACAGAGACGTGAAGAGACAGAGAGAGCGAGAGACATGACTGGGGAAACAGATAGGGAAATAAACATGGAGACAAGACTGACTTCACAGCGAGACGCAGAGGACAAGACGCAGAGATGACACAAAGACAAACCTAATATCAAACAAGACACCTTGAACTAGAAATACAGATAAACTCAAGACTAAGAGACTAAACTCAAGCTCTGTGTATGCTCTATAAACAAAATTGAATTGAACTGAATTGAATTGAATTATATGAAACTCAAACTCAATCTTAAAACATGCATGTGTCATGGTGGGTCTTCAACCAAGTTTTGAATTTATTATGGTCTTGTGATTCATTCCTTTGGATTTAAGAGATTTTTACTCGTGACTTTTGTATTCTTTAACAACTGCCTTTATTATTTCTACCTCCGGGCTGTTAAGTTATATGAGTTTCCTTTTGTGTCTAGTTTCCCCTGTTTTGTTACCCTTTGTTTCCACGGTCATGTGCCTGTGTTTGTCTGACATCCCCGTGCTTTTATGTTAATCTGTCTGTGGTCCAGACCCTGTTGCAGGTTCACGTGTCACGTATGGTGTCCCGTTCAGGCAGGGGCATCTGTTCTTCATATGTTTATTTACCAGCTGACTTTAAAATGGCATGTTGGTGGAGCCTTCAGTCCAAATAATGTTCATCTTTGCTGTCAGAGAGATTCCTGAGGGATCATACGGAGCATTTGTTTAGACCTGTATTTAATTTCAACTGAAAATGTAAATACTTTCAGTGTCTGCAGATTTAACAAAGAACATTTAAACTTCTATAACACTTAACACACACTTCTTCTTCTTGTAGCTCAGCTCTTTCAAGTAAGATAGATGTAATAAAATGCCTTGTGCACAACTAAAACTATAAATGTGCCTCCAGTAAACTGCACAACAATAGTTAAAATTAAAATAAATAATTAATGTACTTTTTTCAGAGCCCTATTTAACTGTAGGAGAAACAGAAGAAAGCTATGAAGTATATGAACAAATTAACGGTTACTGACCTCTTGATCTCTCTGTAGGTCTTCTTCCTCTTGTCCGTGATCATCGTTTCTCACACTCCGGTGAAGTTTTGTGTCATGCTGCTTGCCACCATGTTGGTTTAAAGACCTCCTACTGTACAAAATAGTGACACAGTATTCATTTAGGCTGCAAATTTGTGGACATTAAATCAACTTTTAAAATTTAGCCTCTGTACATCAGAACAGTAGATTTGAAATAAAACAATAAAGGTACAATTTAATTGCAGACTCAGCTGCAACTGAAGGATTTGAACAAAACTTCTGTATTACCTTCAATCATAAATAAAATCTGAATACTTTGCCGAATACTTTGCAGGCAGTGAGTCTTTTTACTGCATCTGTCTTCAGTTACAATATATTTTTCCAGGGATTCACTTTTATAAAGCCAGGAAACGCCATGTAGGATGCGGTTCAATTGGGGTAGACTAACACAAATGCATTCTTATTGGACCAAAGACCGCTTCTTCAGGACCACTGAGGGTACCACACATGACAGTTCCCCTACTAAGATTAGCAACTATGGCCTCTGAGCTACCTACAGTCTGTTAACCTAGACAATGAGGAGGATGTGCTGGACAGGTGGAGAGAACGTTTTGTCTTTCTATTGCACCAAGCTAACTAATGCACTTTGCTTTTCACAGAATGTAACAAAAATGTGACTTGGCCCCTCGTAATACTGGGAAAAAAAATCATCTGGATATCTATACTGATATGGACTGGGTAATGTGTAAGGAACAAATGGATGCCACATTGTTTAATAGAAATGAAAATGATCTACCTACAGAGGGCTGAATTCAAAGCTACCCTGAAAATCAAAGGGGTTTGGGTGATTAGTACCAATTCTTTCATCTGCCTGCATATTCTTGCCTATTA